GACAACACATTCCCCGGCGGAGGTTTAGGGGTTACTGCGCGAATTCCCCCCCCCCCCCCGCCGCGTCTTGTAACTTCCGCGCGCATCCTCTAAAAGTCCGGTAACGACACGATCCGCCCCCGCCCCCCCCCTGCGACAATTACCAAGGTTTACCACTCATGGTCTCCTAACGGCGCGGAGCGATTCGTGGACCTGGTGAAGGACGATTATTTCACAGACGTGGCTTTGTTCCGGTGTGTAAAGAACTTCCTCGTGCAGTTCGGCATCTCGCCGTACGTGTCTTCTCCGAAGAAGAAGTTCTGGAGAGAGAAGGGGCCCATAAAAGACGATCCCAACCTGCAAATTAGCTTCAAGAGGTGAGAGTTGTACCCTTCGCTTTCTCCCTATCTACTCCTGACTCCTGAGTCTTGAAACAGTCGGCGTGTTTTCTGGGTGATAGGAGGATTCTCCTTGACGTTCGTGCCGTCTTCTATTATTGGCAGCCGAGAGGTTTAACAGTCCTTCCGCTCGTCGATGTTCAAGTCGTACTGTATGCGTTCTCGTGAGAGGTTGAGCTGTCTGGCGCCATACCTACCAACAGGAGTTCAAGCGACTGTAAGAAGTTCATGCTACTTTTACCACTGTTTGGTCGCCCCTTGCTTTGGGTGGGGTGTAGTTTCTCGAACACTCATCTGTTGCGGTCAATGGTAACCCTTCGCGCCGATGGCTGGTTGCCAATCCCAGGGTTAGGGTTAACACGTGTAAAATAATTATTTATTGGTATGGGGGGGGGGTTGCACAGCTATTTTTTGCGCCTTAGGTTTCCATCCAACAGCCGTTGATCGTTGATCCATTGACAACCCCAACCCATTAGATAATGGTTTCATTCACCTGTTCGCACGGCTGGAGATTTGAGGTTTCGTGTCATATGTCGGAGACGTCGTGTCATCGCCTTCACCTTTTTCTCCTTCGCCAGGGTAACTTCGTGATAGGGCCGTCAATCCCCCTTGTTGCATTCACGACACTGCCTGCCCCTTTCTCCCGCCGACCCGAACCAAAATGGGCTTGAAACGCCAAAAGGGGGATGCTAAGCTTTGCTGGGAGTGGGCCTAACTCGCGCGGTACACAGGTGAGAGAAGAGAGGGCCGACGTTGCTATCGTTCATCCCACCGGAAAGAAGACTGACAGGATGTTTGCTTGGCCTTTGGCGGTGACTCGAGCCGGGGTTCGTTCGTGCCTCCTCGAAGGAGGGAGGGGATTGTGCAGGCGGGCCGGTTCGCGAAGATTTTTTTTTTTTCACTGCTGTGGTGAAAATGAAGCATTTTGCGTATTTTCCGGCGGGTACACGAGCGTCTAACGACAGAGTAGACCCATGTCTTAGTGGGACAAAAACTTCCTGTTACGCAATCCTCGCCTAAGCCTTTGGTTGTGGGATAGCAGCCAGTTTTTTCGGCCCTGAGATTCCAAGTTGTTGGTGGCCCGCAGACAGGAAAACGCCGCCACCCCGACACCCGCGCCTTGCATCATCCTCTTGTTGCCTCTGCCGTGTGCCGAACGTCCGTAAAGGTCTTCATCACGTTTGCAGACATACCACACCTGGGCAAGACCCCATGGGAAACCCCTCTCGGCATCGTCACGCAGGGGATGGACACGGTTGTGGACAAGTTTTACACCGGCTACGGCGACCAGCAGCCCTTCAACCAAGATGGCATTAACCAGGGCACTTTGCAGTCACGCGGGAACGCATACTTGAGGTACGCACAGCGCGGTTGTTTGGGGGGGGGGGGGGGGGGGGGGGAACCCGCAACCGGGCAGCCCGAAACCTTTTAACCTTTA